TTTTTTTTTTTTTTTGTGGTGCTGGGGATTGAACCCAGGGCTTTTTGTATGGGAGGCAAGCACTCTACCAAGTGAGCTACATCCCAAGCCCAAGAAATGCACTCAGAAAGATATACACTGGGTCAGGGGTTGTGGCTCAAGCGGTAGTACGCTCACCTGGCATGTGCAGGGCACTGGATTCGATCCTCAGCACCACATAAAATAAAATACAGATATGTGTCCACCAAAAACTAAAAAATAAATATTAAAAAATTCTCTCTTTCTCTCTCTTTAAAAAAAAATTCATTTTATATATTTCACTATATAATCAATAAGTAATTATATATATGTACATATACATTGTACATATATGTGTGTTTGTATACACACTTTATTTTTAAAATATTTATTATTTATTTATTTATGGTCAATATTGGGGATTGAACTCAGGGGCACTCTGTCACTGAAGTACATCTTACCCCTTTTTATTGGCTAAGTTTTCCAGGCTGGCCTCTGGAGACTCCTGCATCACTGGGATTAAAGGTGACATGCTTCATAACTTCTTTTTTTTTCTTTCTTTAGTGCTGGGCATCAAACCCAGAGCCACATGCATGCTAGGCAAACACTCTACCACCAAGTTACATCCCCAGCTCATGCTTCATAATAGCAAAATGGGTACACCAGCTATGTGGAAATCAGGTATATTCCAAACCCACTAATAAGGTGAAGAAAATGATCAAATGATAGCAGGAAAAAAAGATGAGGAGATTTTAAAAAAAAGAACAAAGCTAAAGAGGAAGAAAAATATTATAAGAAAATGCAAGGGCATGGAATCCAGCAAAAAGGCTAGTTTAGATGGCTCAGGAGAGCTGAGAGCCAGGTCTTAGAGCTAGGTAACTATTGAAGGGCCCCAAAGATCATGTGGGGCACATAGAACCTGTAGCAAGCTAGGCAAGAGTCAGGTTTCTTATATACAATATGTATGCAGTAGGGACCTTCTATTTTAGTGACAGAAAGACGGATCATAATGTGATTTCACCAGTGGAATAATACCCTAATAATTTTACATTTTTACTTAATTTAGAATTTTGTTTCTCACTACCAAGATCACAGTGGTTTCACATATTATATTTTCTCAAATCATTCCAGAGACACATGAAGAAATTAATAATAGTTTTCCTTTTGTTTTAAAATTGTATCTCTAAAAGACACAAACAAGCCAAGTTAAATTAGATTAGTGCTTATAAATAGCACTTTATTTTAATTGAGCTTTAAAATAAAAAAAGTTTAAAAAAATCTAAAAATTTTCATCTGGTCTGTCAGTTGTATCCATTGGATGGTTAGGAGTTTGGCATGACTAATTTCTTTACAGTTCATTTACTAAATGACACCATATAAAAGCAAGCACTACTGAAAAGGATGTGCTTGTTTCCAAATTTCAACTCATTGTAGACTGACTGCATTATATTGGTCCTTGTCTAACCATTTTATGGTGCAAGAAGGCATTAACCACATATATATGTTAAAGACTTCTTGGATTATTCTCACATTGGCAAGAGCCAGAAAGACTAGAGGAAGCCCAGAGAGGTTATTATTCTGGCCACCCAGAAGGATCAGGATTTTATAATCCTGATTAAGATAAGATTTATTAACCATCCTACCCCAAGATGGAGATGCTTATTCTTATAAAATAACTTAACCTTTCCTATCCAACCACTAGATAATGTTTGCTGAAAACTAACCAGCTCCCAGAGTTGAGAATGCTAATTAACTAAGCTCAGTAGGGTTGCTTCAGAATGAAAACAACTGAATATTGAGATTCAAACCTTGAAAATTCAAAGAAGACCCAGAAATTGTGGTTTAGGTTGACATGTTGTTGATAGTTTTTCAGGAGTTTTCTCGAGTTCATCTAATTTGTCCAATTTATAGACCTAAAGATGTTTGTAATATCCCCTCACTGTCCTTTTAATATGTGTAAGGTCTGTACTCCTTTGACAACTATTGGGCTGAATGAGTACAACTTGTATGATAGAGAAAAGGGGATTGGGGTTTTTGAGCCTGCTCTGAGAAACTATTTGAAGGCATAATTTTTCAAGAAACATTTCTCCCACCTCAGCCAAGAAATGCAGATGAGGCAAGGGGTGGGGTAGGGGAGAGAAAAAGAAATGGAATTTTTTATGGTCCTAGTGGTGAGGCTGTTGGTCCGATTAGCTGCCCATTTGTCTGCAAGCTGCTTTCTCCTCCCATTCTGTGCTCCCTGCCATCACAGTGCAGCTGCTGCCCAGGAAGCATGAGGAAGAGACTCCCTCTGGAGCTGATGGCAGTGGCACTTGGAAAGTGCTGGCAGGGGGTGGGCTATAAAAAACAATTTGGTCTGGGAACAAAAGGCATCAATCACAGCAGCGTCATCAACCTTTGATTTGGACAGGAGAAGAGAACTTTCTTGAGTCAGAAGCAGAAAAGGAACACTTTATTTAGTCATCTCCTTCTTCTAGTGGACTAAATGGTTTAATTAAATTAATAGGAAAGTTAATGCATTAATTCTGGAGCACCATAAAGATCTCTCTCTCTCTCTCTCTCTCTCTCTCTCTCTCTCTCTCTCTCTTTCTCTTTTTTAGTCATATCCTTTGGTGAAGTAGGATAAAGCTATCTCATTTACAGTCTATATCTGAAGTTGCCAGAGTCACTGAATTCTACATTTAGGAGTTAACTTCTCTGTTAAAGGCCCTCATAAGCCTGGAAGTTTCTTTTTTATTTTATTTAAATATTTATTTATTTATTTATTTTAGTTTTAGGCGGACACAACATCTTTGTTTGTATGCGGTGCTGAGGATCGCACGCATGCCAGGCGAGCGCGCTACCACTTGAGCCACATCCCCAGCCCCTGGAAGTTTCTAACTTAATTAACTTTTTGGAAAGTAATTATGGATCTTAAATGAAAGGTACAAAGTTAGTATAGGAAATATTCTCAGAGAGGAGACTAACATAATAAAGAACCCAAGGAAAACAATTGAAGTTATAGAAGTAGCAAACTGAGAAGAAATGGCCACCTCTTAATCAAAAGTCAAAGCTTAATCTAAATAGTTCTTATAGTTAACTGCCTAAGAAAAGTGATAGTATTTCAGAGTTGGGAAAGTATGTCTCAAGTATCTGTGACACTTTCAAATCATGCTGGTCTATGACATCCTTAACCCAGACAGACAAACTATTGCCTTGGGCTGTCTTCTGATGTAGGCAGTATCTCATTCTTTAAAACTTCCCTAACTAGAAAATGAGGTAGAAATGCCCAGCTAGACATGTATCATATTTCTTGGCCAAGTATATGAAGAAGCCTGGAAAGAAGGGGCCTCTAGATGTTACCTTAGATCTAAGCTTCTAAAGAAGTAGAGAAATATGTAAATTTCCATTTAGTTCTAAATTGCAAAAAAGCTGCATGTTTGCTTACTTGTTTCTTTGGATCTTTTTAATTTGAATCCTGGAGAAAGAAACTAAATTAAGTGATGTATCTAGCTTAATAAGAATACCACACTATAATTCAGTGTGAGAAAAATGCATTAATGCATCCGTACTTAATGAGAACAAATGTGTGTATAGTACTTTATAAATAATAACATTTACCTGGATATCCTTCTAAATCTGGTACACATATATACTTTTTGTCCTCTCAGAGCAAATGTTCAAACACAGGGCCTCGAGCATGCTAGGCAAATACTCTACCACTAAGCTGCATCCCCAACTCTTTTTATTTAATTTTTAGTTGTAGATGGATACAATACCTGTAATTAATTAATGTATTTATTTTTTATGTGATGCTGAGGATCAAACCCAGTGTCTCACACATGCTAGGTAAATGCTCTACCACTGAACTACGACCCCAGCCTCTGTTCTTACTTTTTGAGAAAGAATGTCACTAAATTGTTGAGGCTGGCCAAGCATTTGCCATCTTCTTGCCTCAGCTTCTTGAGTTGCTGGGATTATGGTTGTATACCACTGTGCCTGGTATTTACCCCTAAATATTTTAGAGTTCATTACCTAAAAATAATAACATTCTCCTTTTAATAATTTGCAATTATTTCTTAATGTTATCTACTATTTAAATATCTAAATCTCTTTGTCCTCTAAATGTTTATAGTTTTTAATTTGTTTTTTTTTTTTTTGTTTTCTGGTAGTAGGTTGTGCAGCATTCCACCACTGTGTATATCCCCAGTCCATATAGAATTTTTTAAAAAATCATAATCCTGTCAAGATTTACTCATTACATTTAATCATCTTTTTAATATCTTTTAAACTAGAACAGTTTCCCCGATCTCCCCTTTTTTTTACTTTCTTATTTTTTTCTTAACTGGGGATTGAACCCAGGGGCCTTCTACCATTGAGCCACATCTGCAGTCCTTTTTTTAAATTTTATTTATTTTTAGTTGTAGACAGACACAATACCTTTATTTTGTTTATTTATTTTTATGTGGTGCTGAGGATCGAACCCAGTGATGCACACATATGTGAGGCAAGCGCTCTACCGCTGAGCCACAACCCTAGCCCCATATCTGCAGTCCTTATTATTTTTTATTTTTAGACTGAGTCTCACTAAGTTGCTGAAGCTGATCTCAAACTCGCAATCCTCCCATCAGCCTCCTGAGTTGCAGAGATTATGGGCATGTACCATAGTGTGCAGCTTGGTTAAAATAATTGCTTTTGTCTCTTTTAATCTAGAATAGTTCTTCCTATTTCCATTTTCTTTTTCTTTCCCCCCTTGGGCCTTACTCATGCTTGGCTACCAGAGATATATCCCCAGTCCTTTATAAATTTTATTTTGAGATAGGAAGCTCATTAAATTGCTAAGGCTGCCCTTAAACTTGCAATTCCTCCCACCTTAGCCTTCCAAGTCACTGGGATTACAGGTGCATGCCACCATGCTTATTTTAAAGAAATAAACCCTTAGGAATAAGATTTCTTTTTAATTTCTTTTCTTTATTTATTTCCTTTTTGTGTGGTGCTAGGGATTGAACCCAGGACCTTACACATGAAATAAGCAATGAATAAGGTGGTAGTTTTTTGTTTTGTTTTGTTTTTATTTTTGTTTTTTAAAGCAGAAGCAGAAGCTTTTGCAATAAGATAGTTCATGATTTGTTCTTTGGAGGATTTTGAGGCTCTTCTGCAATTATATGATGATAATCAAATTTGGGTTTGTTGGGATTATTCTGCAGCAACCAATCAGCTAGCCAAATCTATGGAAGAAAAGAAAAAAAAAATCTTAAGTTAAACACTTAAATATTTCTTTCTAATACATACTATATTAATTAGAAACTTAGTTTTCAATATCACTTTAAGGAAATGACCATTAAAAATCAAAACACTATGATTTACATTATGCAAAATTGTAAAGTATATGTCAAAATTGGAAAAGAAGAAGTAAAATTGTTCATAGATAGCATAATCCTACTTAAAAAAAAAAAACAAAACTCAAAGAATTCATGAAAGTGAACAGAAGGTTGCATAGCTCAGTGGTAGAGACAGCATGCTTACCATATGCATGCCTAGCATTTGATCTTCAGTACTATTTAAAAAAGAAAAGGAAACAAAGCAAAATAATAGACCCCCATATCTTTCTCTGTCTCTCTTTTTTTTTTCCTTTTTGGTACCAGGGATTGAACTCAGGGGCACTCAATCACTGAGCTGCCACATCTCCAGCCTTATTTTGTATTTTATTTAGAGACAGGGTCTCACCGAGCTGCTTAGCACCTAGTTTTTGCTGAGGCTTTGAACTCCTCCTACTTCAGCCTCCCAAACCGCTGGGATTACAGGCGAATACCATGGCGCCCAGCAAGAGCCCATCTCTTAAAAAAAAAAAAAAAAGAGCTGGGTACTGCGGTCTGCTTGTAATCCCAGGATTTGGGAGGCTGAGTCAAGAAGATTACAAATTTGAAGCTGGCCCCAGCAAAATAGTGAGGTTCCAAGCAACTAAGTGAGGCCCTGGTTCAAAATAAAAAAGGGCTGGGGGTGTAGCTCAGTGGTAAATCACCACTGGGTTCAAGCTCCAGTACCAAAATAAATAAATAAGTAAATAAATAAATGAACAAAACAACAAAGACAGACATAGAAGTTTAGTTGTAAATTTCCCCAAGCGCATTCCCATATCCAAAAGCATAATTAATGCCTACAGTTCAGATAGTGTAGTTTAAAAAGTTACAAAGAGGGGGCTGGGGATGTGGCTCAAGCATAACATGCTCGCCTGGCATGTGTGGGGCACTGGGTTCGATCCTCAGCACCACATAAAAATAAAATAAAGATGTTGTGTCCACTGAAAAATTTTTAAAAAAGTTACAAAGATATAATTATATTAATAATTATTTGCTTTTAATACAAATGTTCAATACAAGGGATTTTTTTTCAATGATGGGGCTCAAATCCAGGCGCCCCCCCCCCCCCCCCCCCCCCATGCATAAGAGATCATTTTTTTTTTCTTTTGGTACCAGGGATTGAACCCAGGAGCGCTTAACCCCTGAGCCACATCCCCATCCCCTTTTTTATTGTTTTATTTTGACATAGGATCTCACTAACTTGCTGAGGCTGGCATTGAACTTGTGATCCTCCTGCATCAGCCCCCTGAGCTGCTGGGATTACAGGTGTGCACCTCTGTACCTGGCATAAGAGGTGATTTTAACTATTTCCAGAAATAAATCCATACATCTGTGGCCAATTTACTTTTTAAAAATATTTTTAGTTGTCTCTTGACCTTTATTTTATTTATATGTGGTGCTGAGACTCAAAACCAATGTCTCACACTACATCCCCAGTCCCAATTTTGACAATGGTACCAATTCCACTCATACAGAAAGAATAATTGCTTTAAACAAATGGTACTGTGACAACTAGGTTTCTATATGTAGAAGAATGAAATTGGACCCTTACCTCCCAATACATATAAAAGTTAACTCCAAATGGATCGATGACTGACCTAATTATAACAACTAAAAACTAATAAAATCCTGAAAACAAATGGGCAAAATTTCACAGCCTTGGATTTAGCAATAGAATCTTATATATAATAGTAAAAGCCCCAAAACACAAAAGAAAAACTTGGACTTTATCAAATTTGAAAAACTTTCATACTTCAAAGGATATAATTAATTAAGAAAGTGGAAAGACAATTTACAGATTGGGAGAAAATATTTGCAAATCATGCATCTTATAAATATTTAATATCTGGAAATATTTTTTAAAAACCCTATAATTCATCAAAATAACCCAATTAAAAAATAGGCAAAGAACTCGAATTTTTTTTGATGGGATGGGTACTAGGGGTTGAACTCAGGGGCACTCAACCACTGAGCCACATCCCCAGCCCTATTTTGTATTTTATTTAGAGACAGGGTCTCACTTAGTTGCTTAGTGCCTAGCTTTTGCTGAGCCTGGCTTTGAACTGCAGTCTTACTGTCTCAGCCTCCCTTGCAGATGGGATTATAGGCATGGGCCACAGCGCCCAGCAAGTACTCAAATTTGAATAGGCATTTCTTCAAATAAGGTATACAAATGGCCAATTAGTTCATGAAAAGATATTCAACATCATTAATCATTAGGAAAATGCAAATCAAAATCAAATGAAGGTCTGGGTTTGTGGCTCAGTGGTAGAGTGCTTGTCTCTCATGCATGAGGCACTGGGTTAGATCCTCAACACCACATAAATAAATAAAATAAAACAAAAGTATTGTGCCCATCTACAACAACAACAACAACAAAAAAGTCTTAAAAAAAAAATCAAATGAAAACCACGCCTGGTGGTGGACATCTGTAATTCCAGCTACTCTGTAGGCTGAGATGGGACAATTGCAAGTTTGAGGCTAGCTGGGCAATCTAGCCAGATCCTGTCTCAAAATAAAAAAAAAAAAGGACTGGGAATGTAGCTCCAGTACTGCAATCACCAATACTATAAAACAAAATAAAAAAGAACATAAAAAATTGTGTTAAGTGGGGGCTGGGGTTGTAGCTCAGTGGTAGAGCACTTGCCTCTCACATGCATGAGACACTGGGTTTGATCCTCAGCACCACATTAAAAAATCTTATAAATAAATAAGAAAACCAATGCACTAATTCTTTTTTTTTTTTTTGAGAGAGAGAGAGAGAATTTTTTAATATTTATTTTTTTTTAGTTTTCAGTGGACACAACATCTTTATTTTATTTTTATGTGGTGCTGAGGATGGAACCCAGTGCCCCGCGCATACCAGGCTAGTTCGCTACCGCTTGAGCCACATCCCCACCCCAATACACTAATTCTTAAAAAAAAAAAAAAAAATGTTATAAGTGAACTAAGCCACCACAAAAGAACACATATTGCATGATTCCACTTATATGAAATAAATACAACAACTTGATAGAGACAGGAAAAAAAAATAGAAGATACCAGTTGAGAAAAAGAAGAGAATGGAGAATAATTGCTTGATGGTTATAGAATTTCTGTTTGGAATAATGAGAACATTTTGGAAATAGGTAGTTAGGCAGTGGTAAAGGTTGTACAACACTGTAAATATAATTAATGCCACTGAATTGTTCACTTAAAAAAGTTAAAATGGACGGGCTGGGATTGTGGCTCAGCGGTAGAGCACTCCCCTAGCACTGGTGGGACCCAGCTGATTCTCAGCACCACATTAAAAAATAATAATAATAAATAAAATAAAGGCATTGTGTTGTGTCCATCTACACCTAAAAAAAAAAAAAAGTTAAAATGGGGGCTGGGGTTGTGGCTTAGTGGTAGAGTGCCTGCCTCGCACATGTGAGACACTGGGTTCAGTCCTCAGCACCACATAAAGATATGTCCATCTACAACGAAAACAAATATTTAAAAAAAAATTTAAATGTCAAATTTTATGCGTATATAAATTATATATATTACACCACAGTAAAAATTAAAAATCAGATATATACAAAAGTAGTGAAAATAGTGTTAAAAGTTATTTTGGGGGGTACTTGTTAAAACTATTGATCAAGCTGGGTGCTGAGGCATATGCCTATAATCCTAGCAGTTTGGGAGGCTGAGGCAGGAAGGATTGTGAGTTCAAAGCCAGCATCAGACAATTTAGTGAGGCCCTAAGTAACTTAGTGAGACTCTGTCTCTAAATAAAATATTTTAAAAAAGGGTTGGGGATGTGGCTCAGGGGTTAAGTACCCCTGGGTTCAATAACCAGTACCAAAAAAACCCAAAAACAACAACAACAAAAACTACAGGTCAATGGAGCAGAGTACAGAATTTATTATGTGATTAAATAAAACTTTACAAATCAATGTACAAGGACAGTTGGTCAGGAAAATAATCAATATGCATCTTCATTTTGTGTTATATGCAAAAATAAATCCAATGCAGGATAAAGTCAAACATAAAAACTCTAGGACTGGGGATGTGGAAAGCACTTGCCTACTATGTGTGAGGCCCTGGGTTCCATCCCTGAGAAAACAAAACAAAAATTCTAGAAGAGGGCTTGGAGATGTAGTTCAGTTGGTAGAGTGCTTGCCTAGCATGCACAAGGTACTGGGTTTGATTCTCAGAATTGTAAAAAGCAAAATAAAGAATTAAAATTGTGGCGTACACCTGTAATCCCAGCGGCTCAGGAGGTGGAGGAGGCAAGAGGATTTTGAGTTCAAAGCCAGCCTCAGCAAAAGTGAGACACTAAGCAACTCAGTAAGACCCTCTCTCTAATAAAATACAAAATAGGGCTGGGGATGTGGCTCAGTGGTCGAGTGCCCCTGAGTTCAATCCCTGGTACAAAAAAAAAAAAGAATTAAAATTGGGGCCTGTGGTTGTGGCTCAGTGGTAGAGAGCTTGCCTAGCACATGTGAGGCACTAGGTTCGATCCTCAGCACCACATAAAAATAGATCAAATGAATGTATTGTGTCCACTTACAACTAAAAAAAAAAAAAAAATTATTTTAAAGAATTAAAATTTTAAATTTTCTTCCCCCCCCCCTTCAGTATTGGAACTCTCTACCACTGAGCTATATCCCCAGCCCTTTTTATTTATTTATTTTATTAATTTGTTGTTGTTGTTAACAGGAATTGAACACAGGGGCTCTTAACCACTGAGCCACATCCCCAGACCTTTTTATTTTTTGTTTTGACACAGGACCTCACTAATTTGTTGAGGCTGCTTTTGAACTTGCAATTCTCCTGCCTCAGGCTATCAAACTGGTGGAATTATAGGCATGCACCTCTACACCCAGCAGTCACAGGCTTCTTATTAAATAAACATATTATTTTCACAATATGCCTATTTTATTTTCTGGTGAAAGCAGAAAATTGGTAGAAGGGATTAGATCTTTTCCATCTGGCAAGGTAGTACATATTTGTAATCCAAGATCCTCAAGAAGTTTTTAGGTAAGAGGATGGAAAATTCAAGGCCAGCATAAGCAATGTATTAAAACCCTGTCTCAAAATAAAAAGGCTGGGATGTAGCTCAGTGGTAAAGCATTTGTGTGGCATGTAGGAGAGCCCTGGGTTCAATTCCCTGTACTGCAAAAAAGAAAAGCTGGCATTAAAGTAATCTTCCCTGCTGGGGCAGTGGTACATGCCTGCTATCTCAGTTACTTGGGAGGCTGAAGCAGAAGTGTCTCAAGTTTGAGGCCAGCCTCAGCAATTTATCAAGATTCTGTTTCAAAAGGTGGGTGAGGGGCAGTGCTGGCGTTTTATACCTCAGTGGTAGGGTACTTGTGGATTCTCTCCCTAGGATTGCATTAAATAAAATAACCTTCCCTGATGATCTTTGAGAGTCTTCAAATGGGTAGGAGTAACTGTAAAGAAGACACTGGATGACAGTTGACCCTGAATAACTATCCTAATTCCTTCTACCAAACTATTCTTACATTTTACTGAGCATTGTGGAGACATTTGGGAATGTGAATAAATATAAGTTGCTCTAGTTAAAAAAAATAGATATTATGATGCCAGGCACCATGGCACATAACTGTAATACCAATGACTGGGGAAACTGGAGGATCACAAGTTCAAGGCCAGCCTCAGCAATTTATTGATACCCTGTCTAAAAATTAAAAAAAATAAAAAGGTCTGGGATGTGGTTTAGTGGTAGAGTGTTCCTGGGTTCAAACTCAAGTACTACAAATAGATAAAAAAAATGTTTAATTTTTAAAAAATATTAGATAACATGAGAATTAAAATGCTGAACAAAATTCAGCAAGTAAATAAGTAATCAATAGTTATGGTAAATATCTGAAATGTATATAAAATAGTTTTTAAAATGCTCATTTTAAAAAAGCTCTCAATACTTTCACTATTTCAAAAAATACAATGTTTTAAAATGACAACTACAGACAACACTTTTTTAATGTACAAAAGATTTCTTACAAAAGGATCTCTTGGTTTTTGTTTACAAAGCTCTGTGAGTCCTTTAAGCAGAGTTGGTGTGACATATAAATTTAAATAGTCCTTAGCAGCTTGTCCAATTGGAATGGGCTCAACAATCACTGCAAATACAAATATATTCTTGTTAAAACAAATATAAGAGATGAAATATAAGAAAGTCATTTAAAAAAATACCAGAGGGCTGGGACTGTGGCTTAGTGGTAGAGGGCTTGCTTCCTGTGTGATGCACTGGGTTTGATTCTCAGCACTGCATATCAATAAATGAATAAAATAAAATTCCATCAACAACTAAAAACTATTAAAAAAAAAAAAAGGATACCTGAAACCTAGCGCGGTGGCAGACACCTATAATCCCAGCTTACTCATGAGACTTAAGGAGGAATATCACAAGTTTGAGGCCAGCCTAAGCAATTTGGGAAGACCCTATCTTTAAATATAAATGGGGAGGGGGGCTGGGATTGAGGCTCAGAGGTAGAACACTCACCTAGCATGTGTGAGGTATTGGGTTTGATCCTCAGCACCACATTAAAAAAATAAAATAAAGATATTGTGTCCACCTATAACTAGGATCACATATATGCAACACCACGCCCAGTTTTTATAAAATAAATACTGTTTTATATAAAATATAAAGTATTTTATAGTAGACAATATTATGAAAAATGTGAATAAATGTTCAAAACTAGGAGATAATTCATTCAACAAATAACAAGTACTTTACACAGTGTTACAGAAACAATAGTAAATAATACATAGTTCTTGCTCTTACAGAGTACTGAGTATACATATAAAATGTTTCCATCTATACAATTTTATTAATATTTCTACTCTTTTCAAATTTTTAAATATGTCAGCTTCAGAAATTTTTAGTCTTTTCAGTTTTGTTTTCTTGTCACACTACAAGTGACAAGTCTTACAATAAATAGAATTTATAAAGAATATATTTATATTCAGGAAACTGACAGAACATTTTAAGTTCAAGGCCAGCTTCAGCAATTTAGTGAGAACCTGTATTAAATAAAAAGGGCTGGGGAAGTAGTTCTATGGTAAAGTACCTCTGATTCAATCCCCAGGACCTGCACCTCCCCACCCTGCCATATATATATAAAATAAGTAATAGTAGGTCCATTATTTTTCTTTTTTCTTTTTCCTATCTGCAAAGCTGGGGATCAAATCCAGGATATGGTGCATTCTTAAGCAAGTGCATTTCTCCAGATACACTGAGATATATCCCCAGCCCAATGTGTTACTTTTAATAAAGATGAGAAAGTGAAGCTACTGGTCACCAGATTTTTCTTTTTGTGAAAAATATGATTGAAAACCATCCCAAAATATCAGTGCTGTTCCTTACTATGTCCTCTTCCAAGAAGCTTATAACGTCCACAGTAGAATGGAAAAAAAAAAAAGACCCTAGAATTGTTAATTTCATAATTGCATGAGACTTTGTTAGGCAAACAGTTAACTGTTAGAGAAGATGGTAAATCAATTGTAATTTCTAAGAGAGTTCCTTTTCTTCCTTCCTTCCCCTACTTCTCATATAAAAAGTTTTATTGAAGCACTAAAGATTAGGAGAAGAGCAACCCTAAATATGTCTAGTCCAAGAGAAAGAAAGAAAAAAAAATTAAACTTTCAAAAGAGTCCCTAAAGGGCACAGTTTAGTTCTGTGGAAAATGTTGAGTTTTCGATTTGTGGCTTCAAATTTTTGAGTAACTCCAACTTGAAAATATGACAAAACATATTGGAGAAAACTCCTGTTATCTTCCTTCCCAGCCATATCTTCAAAAGAAAAGAAAAATCAAATAAGGCGATAGAGTTGACAGATCAGTCACATGTAACTCACCTTTAGGAAACATGAAACGAATTTCTCTTTCTGCTGCAGTAAAGTCATTACTCCCATGAAGTGCATTCCTCAGGTCATCTGTGCCATAAATTGCCCTTAGACTAAAAGTAAATTAGAGTTGATGCCCATCCAATCCACACCTCTTCCTTATTTCATTTTTTTAAAAATTTTTAATATTTATTTATTTTTTTTAGTTTTGGGAGGACACAACATCTTTGTATGTGGTGCTGAGGATTGAACCTGGGCCGCACGCATGCCAGGCGAGCACGCTACTGCTTGAGCCACATCCCCAGACCCTTTTCCTTATTTCATATGAATGCATTCTACTTAGAAATCTTACAGAAGCATTGCCACTTCTTACACATGTAGGCTTTGATATATTTTGAACTTTAGCTTATATCTATCTAGATAAGGGCCAAATACATTTAAATCTGCAGGAAGGATATACTGGGAAAATAGGAGTTCTCTATGTAAGAAAGAGGTGTTATTTTGTGAGAACTGAAAAAGCAATGCATACACAGCAGTGCCAGAACTCAGGGTAAGGATGTGGCTTAGTGATAGATGGTTGCCTGGCACGTGTGAGGCCCTAGGTTCAATCCCCAACAATGGGTGTGGGTTGATGGCGTTCAAGAACTCAGTGTCCTCTTGTTTTCAGACATTAGTGATAATGCTGAAAATTTGGGTTTCTTCTGAATTACCAATATTCTTTTAAAATACCATACCAATTTTCCCATGAAAAATCCTACTTCAGTGGCAGTTTAATTCAAGGATAAGAAAAGAATAAGGCTAATTAATCATAAATTATAATTTTCTGAGGCCTTTTGTAGTATTTGATATTAAGATAGACACTGAAATAGTTAAAATAGAAAATAAAAACCCCACAGACTCCTCAAAGAAAAGCTAATTGAGGAAAACTTCTAAATAAAAGAAAACTCCCATTACAATAAAATCAGACTTTCTTTTTAAAAAATTTTTACAGATGGATTCAATTCTCCCATCCCAGGAAGATTACCTGTCTGGGTGTGTCTCCTTAGCTACTAAAGAATTACTTGGTCCCAAAAGTTCTTTCCAGTAAGTGATGGCTTTATGTCTAGCTAATATCATGGCAACAAGTGGTCCAGAACTCATGTAGGCTGTTAAATTTGGGAAAAACATTTTCCCATACTGTTCCACATAAAAGTTACTACAGTGCTCAGGGCTAAGATGTAGTTTTCTTCTCTATAAGAAAAACAAAGTCAACAAAAGCATTTAAAGTGACAGTTCAATAGTACCTTATTAAGTCATTAATAACTTGAAATTAGTACCAATTTAATTACAAACTTGGCTTATCTTTATATTATGAAGAAAGAACATGATAATTAAATGTACACTGAAATAAGATAATAAGAGGTATTATGTAACCTACTGAAGAAAAATGATTCCAGTTTGGCAACCTTCCTTGCTAATGACAAATTCATCACATTTCCTTTTTTTTTTTTTTTTGGGGGGGGGTACTGGGGATTTAACCCAGGGGCCTTCTACCATTGAGCTACACCCCCAGCCTTTTTTATTTTATTTTAATTTTATTTTGAAACAGACTGGACTTGAATTTGTGGTAATCTTTCCTCAACATCCAACTTGCTAAAATTACAGGCATACACAATTGCACACTGCTCCTTCCCACTTTTTTTGGTTCTTGGGATTAACTCAGGGATATTCTACCATGAAGCTACATTCCCAGCCCTTTTTATTTATTTAAACTGAGAATTTATTTATTTGGGAATTAATTAATTAAAATTGGGGGTTGAACACAGGGGCATTTTACCACTGAGCTACCAACACAGCCTTTTTTAATTTTTATTTTTAGACAGGGTCTCAAATTAAGTTGCTAAGGTTAGCCTCAAACTTGTGATCCTCCTCCCTCAGCCTCTGAGTAACTGAGATAATACATGTAAGCCCCCATCACATCTCCTTCCTAAAGTAATATTCCAATTATCAAGATGTTGTTAATGTGTACTTCATACATATTAAAGAAACAAAATTGAACTTCTGAATATTTCAAATTCACCTTTCACTATATATGTGTGATTTTTTCCATTCTTTGTTAAATTTTCCTACATTACTTGGGAAGCTGGTTTCATTATGGTCATTAGAAATATCATGCAGAATAATGATGCAGTAAGGAACATTTTCACTTGAATGTTATGTATTCTTTATTCTGGTTCTGACATTTCTGTTGATTTCACTGTAACCCTAAGAAAAATTAGTTGTGTTTCATTTCTCCATTTGACATAATATGAAACATTTTGGACAAATAAATGTTTTTTCCCCCAACAAATGTGAAGCTATAAGAAGGAACAATTAGGGCTGGGGATATAGCACAGTTGGTAGAGCGCCAGCCTGGCATGTACCAGGCCCTGGGTTCAATCCCCAGGACCACAAAAAAAAAAAAAAAAGAAGGAGCAATTAAATTTTAAAAATCATGGTAGCTGGGTCAATCATTTTCCCCAATTTGAATATCACTTATTCCCTAAAAGCAGTTATTTTGAGTGCTGTTAAAAAAAAAAACAAAAACTAAATAAATCACCAACCTTGTGGAAACTCATGCCTGTAATCCCAGCAATTGGGGAGGCTGAGGCAGGAGGATCACAAGTTCAAAGCCAACTTCAGCAACTTAGTGAGGCTCTGAGCAACTTAGAGAGAACCTGTCTCAAAATTAAAAAAAAAAAAAAAAAAATTAAAAAGGGCTAGGGATGTTGCTCAGTGGTTAAGTGCTCCTGGGTTCAAATCACCAGATGAACCTGGTGTTACACACCTGTAATTCCAGCTATTCAGAAGGTTGAGGCAGGGTTTGGCAAATTTGAAATCAGCCTAGTGAATTTCCTGGGACCTTGTCTGTCTCTCTGTTTCTCTCTCTCTCTCTCTTTTTTCTTTTCGTATTAGAGATTGAACCCAGGGGTGCGTTTTACCACTGAGTTACATCCCCTTTTTATTTATTATCTTGAGACAGGGTCTCACTAAGTAGTTTAGGGCCTCGATAATTCACTGAGGCTGGTCTTGAGCTTGCAATGCTCCCAAATTAGCCTCCCAAATCTCTGGGATTACAGATGTGCACCACTGTGCCTGGCTGAGACTCTGTCTTAAAATTAAAAATGGGTTGGGAATGTGGCTCAGTGGTAGTGTCCCTAGGTTAATCTCTAGAACAGAAGGATAAAAATAGACACCAATATCTGGGGACAGTGGTCCACACATGTAGTCCCAACACTTGGGAGCCTGAGACAGAAGGAATTAGTTGGGCCCATGAGTTAAAAGGCCAGCTGGGCAACATTCTCTAAAAAAAAAAAAAGACATCAAAGAACTTCTGACTAGAGTATGGAGTAAAGATAGTAAGACATGGAGAGAAGTCACTAGGCAAAGGATAAAAATCTCCGTCATTTTTTTTTTAATTTAAATTTACTTTGTGTGTATATGTGTGTGTGTAGTGCTGGGGACTGAAACTTGGACTCGCACATGATAAGCAAGCACTCTACCACTAAGCTACATTTTTAATTTCTATTTTTATTTTTGTAGTGCTGGGGATTGAATGCAGGTTTCACATAGGCTAGGCAAGGGCTCTGCTACATCTCTAGTCCTGCTCCACCATTTTTGTTATTTTGTTTTTGAATTTTTTTTTTTTAAATATTTATTTATTTTAGTTCTCGGCGGACACAACATCTTTGTTTGTATGTGGTGCTGAGGATCGAACCTGGGCTGCACGCATGCCAGGCGAGCGTGCTACCGCTTGAGCCACATCCCCAGCCCTTGTTTTTGAATTTTGAGATAGGCTTTCACTAAGTGGTCCCGGATGCCTAGAACTTGCAATCTTCCTGCCTCAGCTTCCCAAATTGCTGGGATTATAGGTATGTGCCATCAAGCTCTGGCCTAACTTTATTTTTTTGTGGTGCCAGGGATCTGAACCTAGGGCCTAACACATGATAGGCAAGCCCTCTATCACTGAGCTACACCCCAAGACTAACTTTATTTTTTAACTTACAAACAGAAGAATAAACATTATACTTATTGATGGGGTACCATGTGAGATACACACATACACACACACACATACACACACACACACAAAATGTGTAATTGGGAGGGATAGGAGGGATAGTGGGGACTGAACCCTGGGGCTCCTTTACCACTGAGCTATATCCCAGTCCTGTATATTTTTTTTTTTTTTAAAGTTTGAGACAGGATCTCCCTAAGTTGCTGAGGCTGACTTTGAACTTGCAATCCTCCTGCTTCAGTCTCCCAAATTGCTGGAATTACAGGTGTGGTACAGGTGTGAACCCTATGCCCACCATTGGGTATTTTTTTTTTTTTTTAGGTACTGGGGATCAAACCCAGTGGGGCTGTACAACTGAATTACATCCCAGTCCTTTTTGTTTTGAAACAGGGTCTCACTAAATTGTCCAGGCTGGCCTCAAAACTCTAGACTCTCCTGTTTTAGTCTTCTGAGTAGCTGGAATTACAGGCTTGTACTACCACACTTGGCACATTGTATAATGTTTAGATCAGGTTAAACATATCCATCTCCCCAAACATTATCATTTCTTTATGGAGAAAACATTAAAACTCCTTTCTTCTAGCTTTTTGAAATATATAGTCCATTATCATACTGTGCAATACCATGCCAGAACATCTTATCCAATCTAATTAAAGTTCAGTACCTATAGATCAACTTCTCTTCATCACTCCAACCCTCCCCCATTCTCTTGTGTGTGGTAAAAAGTTTTATTTTAAATATTAAAAGAGTCCAATCTGATGAATTTCTAAACCTAAACTAGTGTAAAAATTCTTGGCCTACTTGGGCATGGTGGTATGCCTGTAATCCTAGCAACTCAGGAGGCTGGAGCTGGAGGATTGGAAGTTAGAGGCCAGCCTCGGCAAACTAGCAAGACCCTATTTCAAAATCAAGGGGGAAAAAAAGCAGGGGGGTGCTGCGGATGTAGCTCAGTGATAAAGCATCCCTGGGTTCAATCCCTAGTACCAAAAAAAAAAAGCTAGGGGATGTGGCTCAATGGTTAAGCACCCCAGATCCAAGTCTTGGTTCCTAAATAAATAAATAAATGGCCAGGTATGGTGGCCGGCACCTGTAACTCCAGTGGCTCAGAAGGCTGAGGCAGGACAATCACAAGTTCAAATCCAGCCTCAGCAATTTAGTGAGGCCCTGTCTCAAAATAAAATAGGAGCCAGGCACAGTGGTGCATGCCTGAAATCCCAGTGACTAGGGAGGCTGAGACAGGATGTTTGTGAATTCAAAGCCAGCCTTAGCAATTTAGTGAGGCCCTAAGCAACTCAGTGAGACCCTGTCTCTAAATAAAATATAAAAAGGGGCTAGGGATGTGGTTCAGTGGTTAAGCACCCCTGGATTCAATTCCTGGTACCTAAATAAATAAATAAGGCTGGCATTTTGGCTCAATAGTTGAGCACCTCTATGTTCAATAATAATCATCATCATCATAATAAAGGTAAATTAAATTCAGCTGGTTATGGTGGCATACCTGCAATCTTAGAGGCTCAAGAGTCTGAGATATGAGTATCCCAAGTTCAAGCCTCGCCTGCTCAATTTAGCAAGACTCTCAGCAACTCAGAGAGATACTGTCTCAAAACAGAAAATAAAGAATTGGATGTAACTCAATGACAAAGTGCTCCGGGTTCAATCCCTAGTACTAATAGATAAAAAATAAAGGGCTGAGTGTGGTGGGGCACCCTGTAATCCCAGCAGCTCAGGAGGCTGAGGCAGGAGGACTGAAAATTTAAGTCAGCAATTTAGCAAGACCCAGTCTCAAAATAAAACATAAAAAGAGCTGAGGATGTGATTCAGTGGTTAACGGACCCTGGGTTCAATCTCTGGTAACACACACACACACACACACACACACACACACACAGAGTTACACTCATTCATGCCCAACAAAGACCACTAATTTGCATAAGAACCATATATAGTATCATGTCTCAATTTTAAATAATAGTATCAAGGATTAGCTAAATCAAGTGCTTTTGAAACTTCTCACTTCCTTATTAACAACTGTAAATAAGACATTCTTTAATCTATATATTTTGACTAATTTTAGCCTTCAAAGAAGGTTTTGACGAGTTTGTCAAACCTGTAATACCAGAGACTTGGGAGGCTGAGGCAGGATGATAGTTCAAAGCCAGCTCAACAATTTAGCAAGCCCCTGAGCAACGCAGCA